ATGTGTTGGAGACATGTTTGCTTCATTTGAGGTAATTTTAGTTTCAGTTTTGGCCAAAGCCCCTATTTGCACCCTCCATTTATTTTTTTTCCGTGGTCAACACTTTACAAAATTTTTCCTCCCTATTTACACTCTTCACTTTTCAAAACCCATGAAAAACTCAATATTTTAACGGGCCGTCACGGCACCATTAAAAAATATATTATGTGGCACCCAAAAATTGACGTGGCACTATGTAACGTTAATAATCCAATGTGGATCTTATTTTTTATGATGTGGTTTATTTTTTACGGAGGTGGACGCCACGTATACAATAAAAATAATAAAAAATTATAATAAATGGAATTTTTTCATTTTTTTCTTTCCCCCCTCATCCTCGGCATCATCTTCACCATCCTCTTCTCAATGGGTTCCGCGCAGGAACCCGAACTGGGTTCCACGTGAGGAACCCAGAAATTGAGTTCCCCGCGGGGAACCCAGAAACTGGGTTCCCCGCGAGGAACCCAGATCTGGGCTGGGTTCCTGCGCGGAACCCAGTTTTGGGCTCCTGTGCGAGGAACCCAGTTCCAACCTTTTTTTTTTTTTTGATTTTTTTATTTTAAATGTATTTATCTTACCTTCCGATTTCATGCAAAGCAATTTGAAATAATTTTTTTGTTGGAAAGGTGAGTTTTTTTTGCTTGGAGATTGTTTCTGAATAGGTTGTCAATTTTTTTTGTTGGAAAGGTGAGTTTTTTGGCTTGGAGATTGTTTCTGAATAGGTTACTAATTTGAGTTTTTTTCGTTTTTTGTGGGAAAGGAGTAGAAGATGCTTATCATGTTTTTGTGCAGTATTCATTTACTTATAATTGTGTGGATGAAAATCTTGACTTGGTTCATGTGAAATTAAGTTCCACGAAGAACTCAGAATCTGGGTTTCGCGAGGATCCTAGGGGGATGAGGATGAGGATGAGGATGAGGATGGTGAAGATGATGCCGGGAAAGAAGAAAATGAAAAAATTAAAATTAATGATGATTTAATTATAACACATATAAAAAAAAGTCTAACATTGGATTAATAAATGTGACATAAAGTTCTGGGTTCCCGGTTCCATTAGGAACCCAGGAGGATGAAGAGGAAGATGGTAAAGATGATGCGAGAAAGAAGAAAATGAAAAAATTAAAATTAATTATGGTTTAATTATGCCATATTATAAAAAAAAATTCATATTGAATTATGTTATTGTTTAATGCCACGTATTATAATTTTTAACGGTTATTAACGGTGTCGTGACGACCCGTTAAAATATTGAATTTTTTACGAGTTTTGAAAAGTGAAAGGTGTGAATAAAAAAAAAAATTTTTGAAAGTTGTTAACAGCCAAAAACAAATAAATGGAGGGTGCAAATAGTAACTTTGTGCCTTTAAGTTTTCTATGATGTGGGCACATTGTTAAGACAATATTTATTGTTTAATTATCGTACTTTTTAACATTGTCTTGGAAATACAAAAGTCAGTACTGATTTTAAACTATGTCACTTGTCAAATTGTTATTGGTAGTTTTATAAAATTATTTTAATTTTTAAATTTTCAATGCAATTAATTGTCAAAAGTATAATAATTAAACAATAAATATTTTCTTATCACGTGCCCTAAGTGCCATTTAAAAAAGAAAAAAAACCATTTTAGTTTTTAGAAATTGTTAAGTATATTAAACACCGGAATCCTAGTAGGAAGTATAATTACTCCCCGCCATACCCACACACCTAATTCGAGGTAAATTATACAAAAGTAAAAAGAATAGAAAAAAAAAAAAA